CTTTCCCCAGCCTTAGCATGTTAACAAAATCTCAGTCTCCCTTTCTGTGTTTCTTCTTTACTTTCATACAGAATGCTTCCCTTCTGACACTTCTGGTCACCAAATGTGTGGGTTTTCCACACCAAGCAATTCTGCGACCCCAGCTGGGTGTTCCACAGCGTAACTCATTTCTGACATCCTCTGCCTGGAGATAGTGTCAGATCTCACAGTTAAGGGTTCCGTCCCAGGAGACGGCCCCCCCATTTCAGATGTCCCAGGTGGTAGATCTCCCATGTGGGGGAGGAGAAAATTTCCACTCTTAGTTTTTCTGGCTGATCTGATAGTTAAATTAACATGGAGAAGATTAATAGGTGTGCCAGGCCAGCACAGCCAAGGGTCCATAGTTACAATGTTCTGGTGAGTTTCACTTGTTTTGGCAGCACTTGGTACATCTCCCACAGCCCATTAGCTACCCAGATAAGATCTAGGGAGCTCATAAGGTGAAGCCTAGTTATACTAAGAGGGCTGTGCCCTCTAAGCTGGGACTTGTTTGTAGCTTTGCCAACAGGTCAGTCCAGGCTTAACCCTACAGCCGCACCCTACAACTAGGAGGAAAAAAATAACCAAATTTAATTACATATGTACATACAGGGGTTCCATAAGAATAAGGGGCTCAAAATCAGGCAGCTGAGGCTTATCTGTCATCTTGAGCTAAAGAGAAAGGGGGGGTAGTGGTTTGGGCCTTCAGAGGGGAGGAAGGCAATTCACACGGTGGTGGAAAAGCAAAGGTTTGGTAAACAAACATTGGCCGGACCATCTTTAACAGTGGGACACAGAGGGCACTTGGATTAAGCAACCTTGCTAGGCTCAGATTAAACTGCTGTTATCTGTGATCCCTCCCATTCTGGAGCAGGTCCTCTAATTTTTTTTAGGCAGTTAGGAGGAAGGTCAAAGGTTCTTTCTGAGTTTTTTGTTTCTTACCAAGAACTAGCTTAAAATAACCAGTGTCCCAAAGAGGCATATTTTGGGGTGGCAAACTCTGCTCCCCTTCACCAGGTTAACCCCCAACTTCTGTCCAACTTGGCTACTGACCAGAGGTTCCCATGACCTCATCCCCTGTGGGTTTGATTATTTGATAGAGCAGCTTACAGAGCTCAGACAAACACTTAGGCTCAGCAGTTGATTAAAGGACAGGATAAAGGGTACAGATCAACAGCCACGTGAAGAGATAGATCCATATTAGTCATTTTCATCAAACATGCAGGTAAAGCCGGGAGGGTCCTGAGCACAGGTGCTCCTATCCACGTGGAGTTGAGGTGTTTTACCCTCCTGGAAGCTCTCTGAACCCCGTACTATTGGGGTTCTATGGAAGCTTCCTCAAGGAGGCATGATCAATCATCAACTCTAGTTCTAGCCCCTCCCCCCTCTCGACAAGTGTATGGGGGAGACAGGGCTGAAGATTCCAAGCTTCACCTCATGGCTTAGTCTTTCTGCTGAGCAGCCCCTCTAGGAGCCCACTCAGAGTAGCCTCATCAGAACAAAAGATCCTCTAGTGCTCTCATCGCTTAGGAATTTACAAGGGTTTTAGGAGCCCTGTGTCAGGGGCTGGGGACAAAGACCAAATATGTATTTCTTTTTTAAAAAAAAAAAAACTTTCATTTTTTTATTTTTTAAAATATATTTTATTGATTTTTTACAGAGAGGAAGGGAGAGAGATAGAGAGCTAGAAACATCGATGAGAGAGAAGCATCAATCAGCTGCCTCCTGCACATCTCCCACTGGGGATGTGCCCGCAACCCAGGCACACGCCCCCGACCGGAATCGAACCTGGGACCCTTCAGTCCGCAAGCTGACGCTCTATCCACTGAGCCAAACCGGTTTCGGCCAAATATGTATTTCTTATTATAAAATCATAGTACCACAGATCACCGCCTGGTGTGGGAGCACGGGATCCTTATAGCAAAGCACATTAAAAGATACAGCACATTATTAATCCCACTCAGTCTTAATAACTATCCAGTCCGTCATCGTATCCTCTGAGAATGTTTTCCAGGGCCACTCGGGTCTGCCGGCTTCTTTATGATCTTGCCCAGTTCCAAAAGCAGGAGTGGTGTCAGCAATTTATTGGCTCCACCCTTCTAGGCAGCTGGTGTCATTGAGCTAAGAGACAGTATCATCTCTTGCTCAGAGCCTCTTTTGAGGTGATAATGGGATATTGGACCTCCTTCACTGCATAATGCACTTACTCATTCCCTTACCTTCAGCTACTCTTCCTCCACTGATGCCTAACCGTTTCCACCCTGCTGGTCTGTGTTGAGGTAACAATACTAGTCTAGCAGGTGCCCTCCCCCCGCCTCTGTCCACTTCTGTTCGGATGGGGTCAGGTTACACAGGTGCAGAACTAGCAGGCTGTCTCTACCACCAGGTGGGCAATCTAGCAGCATTCACTGTGGGCCCCGAGTTTTGCCAGATGGACTGAAGGCACAACCTGCCCCATGGAGGCCTTAGGAATTGTAACATAAAGGTCAAACACAGTTATAGTTTCTCGGGTAGGAATCCGCCCACTTCCATTCCTTGTAGTGGTCCTGTGCCCAGCAGGGAGCACAGCTGAGTTGATGTGAGGCAGAAAGAATACCAGCAACTTTCCTTCCCTACGTCTTCTTCTCCAGACCCGCTAGAAAAATAGGGGATCTGTCCAGTGGGGACGTTCCTTCAAGTTCCCCCGATGCTGAGTATGAGCAAACACTTGTGAGTGCGGGTAAGCCAGCCCTTCATGGCCTCATTTCCCCCCATTTTCCACAACCAGTGTTTCAATAGTGTGTCCCAATCCTCTATCAAACTAGTACTCTGAGGATATCTCTGTCCATTGTCAGACATTATGGGCTGTAAAGGGCGCTCCTTGGCCTGAAGAAATGATGGTCAGCCATCCAGATTGGTACAATGTTGGTTCTTTTATAGCACGCTGGGTATTTGCAGCTGCCACTGATCAGCAACGCCCAGTCCAGAGTCAGAGTCTATTCCTGTCAGAACCATTTGTGTGCCCAGGGCTCCCAGCACCAGTTTCTCTTGCCAGCTCTGTTCAGGGCCTTCCTCCCAGGGGATCTGCCACCAGGCCATCTGCAGCCTCGGTGTCTTTTGCTGGCAGGCAGAACAGCTCTTACCGGACTTTCGTGCCTCAGAGGTTGCAAGAGGGCAATGTCTAGGTCCAGCCCATTTGTGCATTGCTGCAGCAGCCCCCGGTCCCCTCGTGTTATGGACCCAGGTGGCCACCTGGGAGGAGCACAGAGGGACATAGGCTTGCTGATTTCAGTCACCCCCTGAACCTGGCAAGGGGCTCTTTGGATGGACACGGTGATTTCCACAGGGCTATACCCCATACAGGCATCCCTTTAATAGGCTAAGCTTCCACTGCCCTCTGCCTGACCATGTGGCCAGGTCATTGCCACTATCCATGAGTCAGTAAAGACCCAAACAAAGGGCCCCTTTCCATTGTTCAGTTCTTCCGTCTTTGCTAGGAAAACAGCCTGCAGCTCAGCCACAGCGCTGATCGGTTTCTGCCTTCTTTGATCAGAGTGGTGGCCTCACAAACAGGATGTTGTCCACTCACCATGGAACTGCCATCCACAAGCCAGGCAGCTCCCTGGTGATCAGTTAAGCGTCCTGTGTAAGGTGGTGTCCCAGTGACAGGAGACTCCGGCAGCCCCTCACACAGGCCTGGGCTCAGACCTGGGGGGGGGGGGCGGGGAAGGCTCCTGCTTGGCAGTATCTCCTGCTTGACGCCCAGGCAACGTGTGATCTCGTATAAACCATTCCATTAGGGAACTCCCCTGGGCTCTGCCACCCGCGTTGGGGCGTTTCTACAACGTCGCCCTAGACGTTGTGGTATTGCAGGTTTTAAGATCATTTTGTATTCTTTAGTCATCCATGTAGCTTCAATTAATGTCTAATAACAAGATAATAAATGCCCCTCAGGTGAAAGTTCTCGAGTTCAAAGTCCCGTAATTGTCGCTGGGAGGTGCACACAGACCTTTGCCATCTCCTTGGTCTAGCTCCACATGGCTGTGTTCCCCAAGATTGACGTATTAGCCGCGCTCATAAAACATTACGTAAAGGGAACACAGCTCTTCTCATAAAACCTGTTTAAACAGTCCCACTTCCACAGTCTTATCAACTCTTACATTTTCATGTTCTCTTACAAAAATTGTCACCCTCGTCTGAGCTTCACCAGTGGGTTTTGGTACTTCTCGTTTTCACCCCAGTATTTACCCACTCCTGTGTAGGAGGCTCTGGGTTCCCCACAAGGGGGTCAAGAGACTCTGTCCCTATCGTCAATCTTTAACTTGATGAATCTGCCACAAGCAGCTGCTGCCTAAGTTTCTCATTGTCATCTCTGTCTCTGGCTCCCAACATTTTCTAACCTGGGATAAAAGACGGGACTTGTTTGGGGGCACTTAATGGCTGGGGGACCTGCGGGGGCCCTCTTGGCCCAGCCAGCCTTTGGTAGTGCTGTATCAAAACCTCTGGTTTGCCGAAACCAGTTTGGCTCAGTGGATAGAGCGTCGGCCTGTGGACTGAGGGGTCCCAGGTTTGATTCCGGTCAAGGGCATGTGCCTGGGGTGCCGGCACATCCCCAGTGGGGAGTGTGCAGGAGGAAGCTGATCGATGTTTCTCTCTCATTGATGTTTCTGACTCTCTGTCTCTCTCCCTTCCTCTCTGTAAAAAATCAATAAAATATATTAAAAAAGCAAAAACAAAAAACCTCTGGTTGAAGGCCCATGGTGCTGGTAAGATGGGCAAGTGTCAGGTTTCTTTGGGCCAGGAGGCTGGAGGTCAGCGGGGCGGTGGCGTGATGAACAGAACCAGAAAACCCATTTGGGCCCAGCCCGAAGGCCAGCTCTTTTGGAGCCACTTCCCACGCTAACGGGGTTGTTTTGGGAAAAGTAGGGGCGGAAGCTCCATCCTACCACCCCAAAGTGTGTCAGGCCCTGGCTGGTGGCAGATGGCCAAAAGCCGCAGCCTTTGTGCCCAGTGACATTGGGTTTGGTCGCAAAGGGCAGTGTGTTCGTGACATTCCTGGAGTCCACTTTTAAGGTTGTCAAAGGAGCCAGTGTCTCTTTGGCCTCAAACAAAGGCAGGAAGGAAAGGCCATCATCGTAAATTTGATGGTGAAAACACAGTACTATTTGCTTTAATCACCTATTCCTTAACCGTTTAGAATTTCTACCCTGATGCTCTGGCTGGTGGCTTAGTTGGTTGGAACACTGTCCCATGCACCAAAAATTGTGACTTGATTCCGATTGGGGCACATACCTAGGTTGCGGGTTTGATCCCCCATCGGGGCACATACAGGAGGCAATTGATCGATGTTTCTCTCTCACATCAATGTTTCTCTCTCTTTTTCCTTCTCTCTCTAAAATTAATTTAAAAAATATCCTGGGGTGAGGATTAAAAAAAAAAAAAGAAAATTTCTACCCTGCTAAACCAGTCCCTGGATTCTCTCCTCTGCCTCCCCCCATTCTCTTGTTAATGAACCTAATGCAGTTATTAACATCTGTAAGAGGCTGGAGGGGAAGCAGCTGACACCAAACTCAATAAGGCTTCCTGAACTGTTTTTCGGTTTTGCAGTATTAGGTTATGTGGGGTGCCCATGAGAAAGGGCCCCCTTAACCACAGCATTCAGCATGACCTGGGTAACAGGCATATCATTGGGTCCCTGTCCTGGTCCTCATTAGAGTCACTCCCAGGTGGTTTGCATACAAAGCATACAGCTGCCTCATCTGGGGTGCTCCACTGGGCACAGATAGGGGACACGGCCAGGCTGTACAGTGGCTTTTATCAAGTGCACCAGGCTGGCCCCTCCCTCAGGAGCAGCCTCCTCGTGTCTGGATCACATGCAGCCATCTGCGATTGTTCCATGGTGAGCTGTGGGTCCTGTCTCCACCCCGACATGCTCTTCCACCGCAGCATTCAGAACCAAAGACACAGCCCCAAGTTAGTTACCCTCACAATCTATTTCAGTAAAGCTTCCCCGGGAAGCTGATGACACCGATCCATGAGGTGAAATGCCTCCTTCACGCTGTGCCCCTGGTTTCAATGGGGTCTTGGTTGTGCTCTCCTCTCGCACTGATGGCCGGCCTTCATGGTGCCCGGAGGTCTTAGAGGTGCTTTCTATTGTCCCTGCATAATTTTTCCCTTGGCGGGTGGCTTTGAGGCCGGCGGCTGCGGCTCAGACTGACCCAGCTCTGAACTTGGCCCAGCCTCAAGGTCTGACCCAGCACTCTCTTTTAATTTCACTTGAGCTATTATAGCTAACAGTGACCAAGAGATTATGTGTTTCACCTTTTCCTTATGAGTTTGCATTTTCTTATGCATCCAGTGAACCAATTCCCAGACAGTTGGACTCACCTCTAAATTCTGTTGGTAATTTTACCTTCAGTAACTTATTGTCGCACCGCTGCTGGTCCGCACCATGGGGACCATGTGGTAACACCAGTGGTCTTGATCTGGCATCATGAAGCGTTCAGAAATCTGGAGAAGGACTGTGCGTAAATTAAATAAGAGTCCAGAGATGAAACATAATTTTGAAAGGCATTATGGAGTCAGAGAAGACTCAGCTAAAGGAACTAAGTTCTCCTTGTCTCAGGACCCCTTGCTATTTATTAACACAAATTGTCTTAAGGCAAGGTGGAGACATACACTTCAAAGGGTGGGGTTAGGTACAGAATCCATGGTCAGATTGGAAGAATTTGCCTATGGCCATTCAGGTGTTTGGCCAGTAGGAAGCAATAACATGTAAATTAAGATGCCCTTAGCTGTCTGGCAGCAAGAATCATCCTTTTCAGGTTTGGGGAAATACCCTTGCCACTCCAGATGATTCAGCCCTGTTGACATGCCGGAAGCCAGTTCCGGCAATGTGGTCACTCAGGAATCAGAGGTTCTTCACCCCACACCCTTCATCCTTTCTTTTCACAAACCACTTGTTTCTGTGAGCCAGGATCACTCTGGCCAATCCCACCTCACCGACACCAACTGTATCGGAGAAACCTACCACTCTCCTTCCTCCTTACTTCCACTCAGAACACTTCCCTTCTGACACTCTGGTCACTAAGTGTGTGTAGAGTTTTCCCACACTGAGCAATTCTGGACACCAGCTGGTGTCCTTCAGTGTAACTTGATTCTGACATCCTCTACCTGGAGAAAGCATCAGATCCCACGAGACTGCCCCCCACATTAGACGCCAACCACAGTGGCAAGTTCCCCAGGTTACTCACAACTTCGGTCAGATTTGGCTACAAATTAGAGGTTCCATGACTCCCACCCCTACCTCTTGGACTTAATTATTTTCTGGAACATCTTACAGAACTCAAGGAAGCACTGGCTTATATTTACCGGTTCATTTAAAAAAAAAATATATATATATATATATTGACTTCAGAGAGGAAGGGGGAGAGGGAGAGATAGAAACATCAACGAGAGAGAACCATTGATTGGCTGCCTCCTGCACAACCCACACTGGGGATCAAGCCCACAGCCTGGGCATGTGCCCTGACTAGGAACCTCCTGGTTCCTAGGTCGACGCTCAACCACTGAGACACACCAGCTGGGCTTTACTGGTTCATTAAAGGGGAGGATCAAGGATACAGACAGACAGACAGATGAAGAGACGCATTGGGTGAGGTCTGGGAGGGTCCTGAGCACGGAGCTTCTGTCCCTGTGGAATTGGGGTGCGTCACCCTCCCGGCATGTGGCTGTGTTCACCCACCTGGGAGCTCTCCGAACCCCTTGCTATTGGGATTCTATGGAGGCTCCTCAAGTAGGCATGGTCAGCCATTAACTCTGCTTTCAACACCTTCCCGCCACCCCCCTCCTCCTGAGAAGTTGGGGGAGGGGGGCAGGGGATGAAAATACCAAGCGTTACCTCATGGCTTAGTCTTTCTCGTGAGCAGCCCTATCCAGGAACCCACCCAGAGTTGCCTCATTAGAACGAAAGATACTCCTACAGCCCTTATCACTTAGGAATTTAAAAGGGTGTTAGGAGCTCTGTGTCAGGGGCGGAGGACAAAGACCAAATTTACACTTCTCATTATAAATCATACTTAGGCACTACTTTTATTACCCCATGCTTTCAAGACCCCCAAACTGCTAAGAGATCCCCATGACCTTGGGATTGTGGACTTGAATTATAGTACCCCAGCACGTTCATCTTGGGGTCTAGGTCGGTCCAGACATTTCCTTTCATAGAAAAGGTTACTGAGGCTCAGAGAAGGGCAGTGCCTGTCCCATGGTCACACAGCCAAGAGGAATCAGGGCTCAAGGTTTTGATTTGGAGACCAGGCACTGACCTCTTTCTCCAAGGCACTGGCCTGGAGGGTCATCATCTGCCCTGCCCCTCCAGGTTTTCTTTTCTTGACGACACTCTCCATCTGCCATTGTGTATTTCAGATTTCTCTACACTAGTGCCACGCTCATCATAGCCTTCATCTCTGCAGGTGAGTGCGGTCAGGTGGAGGGAGGGGCACCTCAGGGGCACCTGGTGGATGGGGCAGGTGCAGAAGGTGATGGCAGGACACACTGACCCCACGGTTATGCAAAGATC